AGGGTGATGCATGCGATTTGCAGTCAGCAGGGTCCGGACTCGTCTATCCAGGTGTCAAGTTCAGTCTGTGTCCACTTGAGTATACCAAAAGAATACATTAGGACTGGCATGACCCAACCGTTAAAGGCTCGCACCTTGTTTCCGCCTGATAAGGAACTTTTTAGTACCTTATTCAGGCGGCCAAAGAAGCGCTCCTGTAGCGATTGCTTCATGTCCGGTCCATTAATGCCTAATCCTTCTGACATACCCAGGTACTTGTATGTATCGTTTGCGGAGAGTGATCTCAGTTTTGTGAAATCTGAGAGTTCTAGTCCCTCAGATTCCACAATCCCTCCTCGCTTTACATGCATGACCGCACACTTGTCTACTCCAAACTCCATTCTGATGGAACTACTAAATTTTTCAGTTATATTCAGTAGTTCCATCAGTTGTTTCTTGTTTGGAGCAAACAACTTGAGGTCATCCATGTAAAGTAAGTGGGATATAACTAGACCCCTTCTCCGCAAAGGATAGCCTAGCCCTGAATCCTCCAGTAGAGTACTTAGAGGATTCAAGGCCAAGCAGAACCATAGTGGGCTCAGGCTGTCACCCTGGAATATTCCTCGTACTATCCTTACAGGTTCTTCATTCCCTTGGATTTGTCTACATCCCGGATAGCAAAGCACGGTGCTCCACTGCCTCATACATGACTCCAAGAAGGCGCGTAAACTTGCATGTATTTTATACAACTCCAGCACCTTCAGGAGCCATGTATGTGGCACAGAATCATATGCTTTTTTATAGTCTATCCAGCATGTAGACAAATCTTTTCGGGACCGACGAACCTGTTGGCTAACAACCATATCAATGAGGAGTAGCTCCTTAGTTCCACGAGACCCCTCCCTACATCCATTTTGAGATACCGACATGATGGAATTTTTTTTAATATGTTTTGTTATTTTTGTCCTCAAAATGGATGTAAGAAGTTTATAGACCGTTGGTAGACATGTGATTGGTCTATAATTTTTGGGCTCAGTGGAACTACCTGATTTATGGAGCAAGTGGGTAACTCCTGTTGTTAGAAATTTGGTAACGACCCAGTTTCCAAAGCTGCCTGGAAGTGTAATGCTAAGCGAACGTGTGAACTCTTGAGCCATTTAATCCAGAAATTGTGCAGTCCGTCCGGCCCCGGTGATTTCCAATTCGGGACCGAACAGGCTGCACTGGCTACATCAGAGGAGGTGATTACTACCTCCTCCATCTCTGGTATAGTCACACCTTCGCTTAACATCAAACATCCAGTCACCTTCTGTGTGGCTGACAGGCACCGACCAGATGTTGCGCCAAAATGTGTTAGTGGCATCATCATCCGGTCGCCTCCCGTCAGCCACATCTTGGTTGGATCGTTCCCAATCTCTGTATACCCACCTCTGATCTCTTTGGAACATGCGATTCTGAGTATAGCGCTCCACTCTTTTTTTGTACCTTCTGATACGGTTTGCCCATGCATAAACTTTCTGCTTCAGGAAGTCGATGCGTTCTGTAACACGTGATAAGTATTCATGAGGACTGATTTCAGTCCCCACAAATGCACGTCTTACAAAGCGCATCACTCTAGGGCGAGTATTGCCCTCCCTGAAGCAGGATAGTTTGCCAATGAGTACCCTGGCCTCACTGATACGACGCTCTACCCTGCACTGCAGGCAGGTACTGCTGATTTTGGTCGGACTGCTGCGTCAAGATTTGGGAATCTGACGTTAGCCACTCGACAAGCAGCAACTGCCCCACAGTACAAGATTGAGTGTGTATCATAGAGGTTTTCGCTACTCTCAAAATAATTTTTAAGTAGCGAATCCAAGGCGCTCACCAGCGCCCTATTTTTTCTACACATGGGCAAACGTGGTAACTTTGGTCTTAAATTACTAGGAGCAAGTCTGTACTCACGAACCGCATCCTCCAAAGCACTCCTCAGACGTTCATTGCACTGAGTACTCACTTGTTCAACCCTGTCGTCCTCCACTCCAACGATAGGAGTGGTCGATGTCACACATTGTGACACTACAGGTGTCTGTGCCACCAATTGTGGTGGTGCGGGGACGACACGGTTGCGCAGTGCTTCAAGGCGTAGCCGATCAAGCGTAGTCTCATCCAATCTGCAATTACGTTGGATGACCCGCACTTGATCCGAGAGTCGTTGGGCCGAGACGTTGCGTTCAAGCACCTGAAACATAGACAGCATCCTTTCACGGTACGCCGTGAGGTTAGTTCCTCCCTCTGTAGCACCGTAGTATGCGCGCATGACGTTCTCGTTTATACTTTGAGTCCATTTCATGCGCCGCACACAACCACCGGTAGCGGGGACCCGTCCCAGGGCTTGATGGCCCCTGGTTCCCAAGCCAGTCGGTGGCCGGCCTCTCCCCGGCCGACGTACAGGTGGTGGCGACGTAGGTGGGGAGAAATAGTCGTCGCTCGAGCTCGACGCAACTGCAGTCACCGGCGTTCCAGCGGAGCGGGGTTCCGGCGATGGCGAGGCGGAGCTGAGCGACGAGTCCGGAGGTGGTGGGGGTGCGCCTTGTTTGCTTCTGGCTCTCGTCAACATTGTTAATCGTTTTGCTTTAGTATATTTATTTTTGAAGTTATTGATTCTGTCATTGTCATTTTCATTTTTAATATTTTCTTCTTAGTTTGCAGTATTGTAAAATTATGGCGTATTATTATAAAACAAAAAGGTTTTTCTATTGTTGATAAATATTAGAAGAAACGAAAACAGAATGGAATATATATAAATTATTTATATAAAAACAGAGTAAAATTTTCACAAGTTGACGTTTGTAGTGTTGCCAGGTTATTATGACAAATTATATTATTATTATTATTATAGTTATGAATTATGGTTGTGGTATAAATCATATTTAATTAAAACAGATAATTTAAACAACCAGTTATGTTCAATGCACTAATAAGTAATTGCAAGCAGCTACATTGAGGTCAATTTGAGACTTCTTAATATTAGTGAGATTTTTTAAAATACTGTGGTGGCCTGGGATACATAATCAAATATATCATACTGAGCAATCATGCTAATCACCAACAAGACAAGCCACTTTTCTCTTAGTATATTAAAATGGTTAGCTGTGTTTGTGTGGTTTATTTAATAATATCAACTATTTGATGTATACCTAAGTAATCAATACAACACTGTAATGATGACTTTGCTATTATAAGATAAGGAAAATGAATACATGATTGGATACTGGCCAATACCCTGCTAAAGGGTCACCCTCATAGCAAATATAAGCAATTATGTAATAATTAAATTATATAAAATAATTTATACATATGTCTTAAATCCATCAGCAGATAATGTGCTTATCAAAATAAGTATATAATATTAGAAAATGTAATTTATTATTAATATTACACAAAACTTATTGTCTGATTACAAAATTAAGATAAAAAATATTGATAAAGTATGCTACTTTACACAATTTTCATTTCCTTTTAAACTATTTCAGATTATGAACCTTTGCTTATAGTTATGTGCATAATTGTAATTTATATTATCAAGTGTAATGAATCTTATAAATTAAAGTTAGATAATATTTATTTAAACTGTCATGATTACATAGAGTGTCTCAATTTTAGTATGCTGCTCTTTATACTTTTAATATTCTCAATTCTCATCATGAAGTCTCAATTTTAGACCCAGCGCAAGCATAGCCTTACTGGAATTTTATGTCAGAAATCTTAATAAAAATATTAACTGTGGAATATAATTATGTTGATATTTTGAATATTTTAAATATATCTTAGGGTCATAAAAATCTTAAAAACTTTTTGTATTAAATTTTATATCTTTTATATACTATAGCTTCTATTACAACACCACAGCCTGAAAACCAGAAACAAGATCATTATTTCTGTATTCATTTTTAATTACAATAAAGAATTTATCTATTAACTTTTTATTGACTAACAATGTAATTTTCTAATTCGGACCCACTATAATAAACCTAGACTTTTTAAAAGAAACATACAAAATTAAACCATACACTGTAGAAAATTGTTGTCAAAGTCATATGAAGTGAAAGGTGTAAAAAGTAAAAGTTTATATTCTGTGGACAATTTACTACAAAACTTTACAAGTTTACCAGCAAATAGTAAAATAGTTAATTTAACTTTAATTGATAGTTTGTTTATTTTCCTTGATGCTTTGTTTATCATAATACATTAATTACATTTTAATATACAATACTAATTATGCCCATTAACTCCAGACTTTTGTTCACTAAGTGTTCATCACTAAAATTATTAGGAGCTACCTACTTTCTCAATAAAAAATATATTTCAGTAAAATGTTTCATATTACAGTTATGGGCTACTTCAAAGATAAAGTATGTTTTGCAATAATGTTATACATATTGGTCATGCTCCATAATGTTACATTACAATAAACTTACAATGTAATAGACTGGTTATCTGTAGATTTGTACTCAACTTTACATATTTAGATTATTTCTGGGCCTGGTTAATTATATTTGATTGGTCACCACATGTTTAATATTTGTTTACAATCTGTTTCTAACTAGAACTACATTTGCCAAAATTAAAGTTAAACCCAATGAAAAAATACCGAAATTTTGCAATGTAATACTTATGCTGACTCATAGAATAAAAATAACGAACCGGTTCTGCACGAAACTACCAATTTAACTGATGAAATCAAAAGATAAGTAGGTTAAAGGGTGAAATATTTGTAAAGCTACAAGCTACAAAGCTGTTGTAGCTTTTTACCTGAATTTTGCCGTCGCTTTAAAATATGGCTCTATTCTTTAATTTGGCAGCGACGCAACGCCATCGTTATACTATTTATATTAACTTATATATGTATTTCAACTCATTCAAGAAGCGCCAACAAGAAAATAAGTTCGGTGACGTGACAATCCTCTCCAAAGTGCGTTTTCAATTTACAAATTACAGTATAGTATATAAGCTTATGCTAGATTAGAATGCAACCGTACCTGATCAGCAATATCCTCAGCAGTAGACACATATTCCTTTGGAATTTGCATTTTTCAAACCGTATCACAAGCACATTCACTAAAAAATGAAATTTCACTGCCTTTGGAACCGTCACGTCAGTCTGCAGCCGTCGAATGACGTGTGGACAGTTGGAATACACTTCCTGTCAAATTAATTGTCTTTTATATTATCTTTGAGAGATGTATCCATAAAAACTACAATAATACATTTTTAAATAAAATAATATATTCTTATGATGTTTCTAAACAGTCAATCCTAATGTGTACTTGTATACAATTAAGAAAAAATAAACGATCCGGATGTTTTCATTTCAAAGCTTGCTTGGTTTTCCAAAAACGTCAAACTGATATAAGCGTTTAGTATCTACAAGATCGAGAGATTTTTCACAATTTTTCTGGAGTAATTTACTGATTACATTTTTAATACTATGAATATAACAAAATTGAAATAAACTGAGTATAACTATAAACTCATAGAATTAACTAATATTTTCGAAGACCTCAAAAGAAAAATAAGTAAAATCTATAAATTTGTAGGCAAAAACTAAACGAAATGATTATTTTTATGAATGAATGAACGAAGAACTTTGTTTGACATTGACAGTTTGACACTGTTATGTGTTTGATAACTATACTTATTATACTCTTTGTGATAAACGCTAAACTGCTGCGAGTGCGAAAGTGATTTTTGGCGTAACAATACAGCGATATCCTTCTATATACTAAATATTGTGTTGTGAACATATCTCTAACTAAGTAATTAAAGAAACTGTAAGTGTACAACAGTTGCAAAGTACTGTATTCGTAAACTGTATTTGTCTAATGTTTTGTGCATAACCTATTTTCCAGAAGATGCTTGAAGTCACTTGTAATGATCGTCTTGGAAAGAAAGTGAGAGTAAAATGCAACCCTGACGATACAGTTGGAGACCTCAAAAAGTTAATAGCAGCACAAACTGGCACGAGATACGACAAGATTGTACTGAAGAAATGGTACACAGTATTCAAAGACCATATCAAATTGTCTGACTGTATCCTTTTCCAACAACTATTTATGTGTACTATCTGTTAAGTTATCATTACTTTAATTTTGGTAGGAAACAAATGCAATTTATTTGTTATTCTTCTATATATCAGTGTTATGAATTATCTTTTTGAAAACCTGAAGTCATATAAATTAAGAATTTGCACTAAAAAAATATATTGATGTCTAACGGAGTTTAATCAAAACACTGTCTATTTTTTATTGTGTCTCTTATAACAGTAGATGAGAAGTAAAGGTAATAATTGAATGATGATTAAACACAAAGACCAATCTTTTAATGAGTATGTGTATAAAATACCTAATTAATACAATATTAAATGTATGTGTACAAATTTCAAGCAACTATGAATTCCTTAACACTCGCATTCAGATGAAATACATGATGGCATGAACCTGGAACTCTACTACCAATAGCATACAATGGAGTCTGATAATATAAAAGATAATGTTAATTTTACAACTAACTTTATATAAGTAAACTATAAGATTGAAATTATTTGTTCTTATTTATTTTTGGGGTAATTCAACAAGCCAACTCGTCCTGTGATTATCAATTGCATAAAATATATTGATTACCTAATAAAATAAAAATACTCAAAAGAGTTGTTTCATTTTACTGATTCCTAAGACCAGAACCAGTATAACTCGAGAATCTTTGTATCAGGTTACTGCTACATCTGTAAAAAGGAGTAAACAATAGAATGTATGGATCATAGCATGTTGTCTTACTCTATGGGGCAAAGGTGTGAATTTATCTCGAAAAACTGGTATAGGGGGAACTAATAAGTTTTTATAATGCATTATAATAGATGCTTTTAATTTTGGTATCATTTGGTATGTATTGTAGTAATAAGTTCGAATTTGAACTATTCTGTGAAATATCCTTGTTTATTGCGCCAGGAACAAATCGACTAAGCACGATGCCCACTATTTTATCATATCAGTGACCTTCTTGAATGTTGTAAAAGAAGTATTTCATTTATAATTCTCCAAAAAATATTTTTGGATATATTTTTTTTTCATGTTCTATATGGCAATATTTATTATTTAAGTATCCAAGAAAATCATTCAGTACTTCCGTTATTTATTTGTTATTTGGTGAAGTTCTATTCCATCATCGTTCATTTCATTCATTGGCGGCCATTGTGGTTTACTTTGTTTTGTCAAATTCTGAAAAACCCAAATCATTAATTAGATCGTTTTTTAAGGTTAAAATCTTGCTTATTTTACTTTAATTTGTGAAGACGGTGCTATTAGCATTATAATTAATATTTTATATGATAAGTATAGTGTTATAAGTAGTATAATGTCTGAAGTTGAAGGTGAGTATCGTGGTATTGTTGGAGTGATTAGCATTTGGACTGGCCCACTAATATTTGTTGATTTTCAGAGTACAGCCAGCAAAAGCCTGCAAAGACGGGCAAGCAACATAACATATTACCAATATGGGGTAATGAACAAACTATGAACCTGAACCCACTAATATTAGCAAATATACAGGGCTCTAGCTACTTCAAAGGTAGGTAAGCAAACATACCAACGCACAGGAGCTTGGACTTCGTTTGTTCCACTTTTATTTACTTTCATTTGTTACCGTTATTTTTCTGTTACTGTTTCTTACTAACTCAAAAAGTTGTTCTGCCATATCTTCTATACACATTTTCCCGCTTTTTTTGTTTTATCTTATAATAATTTTATAATCTGCTTTGAATTTTTGTAACAACTAGCTAAGCACCACGTACGTTGAGGAAATGTATTTGTTTTTAAAAAAATGGTTTACATCTGAATGTAGTTAGTTGAAACAGTAACATCTAAAACAAATTGAATGTATGTTTAATTATAATCTAACATCTATTTTCTACTCTCTGCAGTACACCTGTTCAAGTTGAAGACATACCATGAGGTAGTGGATGAGATCTACTACCAGGTGAAGCACCTGGAGCCATGGGAGAGAGGGAGCCGCAAGACTGCCGGCCAGACGGGCATGTGTGGCGGCGTGAGTATGTTCAACCGTGTCATACTTTGTTTGTTACACAGTATTGTTTGAGACCACCTACTGCATTATTACTTCATATTAAAAATAGAATTTAACTCATCAGACTTACCACAATAAGTAATTAAATAATTAAACTTTTGTCATGGTTTTCCAATAAGTAGTTTAGCAAAATTTAAATTTGTTGTAAAATGCTGTAAATTTTTGCACAAACATTTTTACAAGCCTTTTGTATTTTTATGTGCAGATTTGAATATGATTGAGCTTTAGTGTCAATCTGAGAAGTTTTGAAATAGTGTAAACCAAAGTAACTATTTTCAGGTTCGTGGTGTGGGTGCCGGTGGCATAGTGTCCACAGCATTCTGTCTTCTGTACAAACTGTATACTCTACGGCTCACTCGTAAGCAGGTCAATGGCCTGTTGCAGCATTCTGACTCCCCCTACATCAGAGCACTTGGTAGGTATGAGTATATTTATTTTTTAATGGAATGGATATTCATATTGTCTGGTAAGTTTCTTCAAGATCCTTATTATTACAGGATTCATGTACATTCGCTACACACAACCACCAGCAGATCTCTTTGACTGGTATGCAGACTACTTAGATGACGAAGAGGAAATAGACCCTCGTGCTGGAGGTGGAGGCTCCACAACCATCGGTGCCTTGGTGAGACAGATGCTCATCAAACTGGACTGGTTCAGCACATTATTCCCCAGAATACCAGTACCCATACAGAAGCAGATTGAACAGAAGTAGGTAACTTGGTACTTTTTATACAGTGGATATTGGAGTCTTTTACAATAAATTAGGAATATCAGTTTAACAATAAAATGTGGTTCTTATTAGAACTAACTTGAAAATGTATAATTTCCAAGAACTTAATCTTATTTTATTTCCATATTATTATATCTTTTCTCATAACTGAGTATCCTGTCATGATTCTAGCATGGCTTGCGGTCTTCGGTCGACATGCGACTGTCCCGAGCTGTGTGGATTAACAGGAATTTATTATAATTACATTTTGCCATAAACAGTTTTCTGATATTATTTATCAAGCTTATTTAGATAATGAGAAAACTATATAAGTATAATTAATTAAAAAAGACTTGAAATTGACATAATTTTACTTTTCAAAATACTAGGTTAGCAGAGCACAACAGGCAGACATCAGCCACGAAGCCAGCAGCCAACTATCGCGGTGGAGGTGGTAACAGCAGCAATGGTGGAAATAGTGCGGGCAGCGGGGGCGGGACTGGTGCCTACAACCCTAGCAGGATGGACTCCGACCGAAGAGAGCACGACGATCGAGATAGACGAGATTATGGCGAGAGCGACAGGTAGATTTGTAACATTTCAATTGAATTATGAATCAGAACTAAACAGTAGAACATGTTACATGAATGTGTCAACATTTTCAGGTATTCAAAAGACAGAATGAGACGCGACGACCGCGACAATCGAGACCGTGATCGCGAACGTGATAGAGAGCGCGATCGCGGCGACCGCGATAGAGATCGTGATCGGGAACGTGAACGAGATCGCAGGGATCGGGACCGTCGCGACCGCCACCGTGATAGATCGCGGTCACGTGACCGACAGCGTCATCGATCGCGGTCTAGAGATCGCCGCTTTAGATAATGTTCGGCAAAATATAGATGATTTATTATTGTGTCCTTCCTTACAAATGAATAATAATGATGTTCTGAATTTTCGTGTTTTCTTTCATTTCTTGTTAATAGCACTGTTACCAAAATCTGTAAATAAATCAAAATATTCTTTGATATAAAGCTGGAGTTGGTTTGTTTCTGAACACCCTAATAGACGCGACACAACAATAATTACCTATTTGAATCGAATTCATAGTCCATTTATCGAGGAAGGCTATAAAACATTACCCTACAATCAATAACAGCTGAGTAGTGGGTGAAACAGCGTGGCAGTATCTAGTATGAAATAAAATTAATTATTGGCTAAAGTATTTTCAATTGTTTATTCCATTGCAAAAATAAAAATGCTTGAAAAAAAATTCGAATTGAATCTCACTGGAGAACAGCAGACAAGCTTATAAGCTAATGAATAAATACATTTTCAATGGAACATTTTAGATTCTTCTATTGCATCAGCCTATGCTGCAGCACCCTTAGTTTCCTGCTGCTCAAACTTAGGATACTTCTGCTCCACATCAGACCAAGAGATCTTGCTGTTAGACAAATCTCTCACAACAGCAGCTACATCATCCAAAGGGAGTCTCACTTGTCCCATACTATCTCTTTCTCTCAATGTAACAGAATGAGGTTCTTTTATAGTGTCGAAATCGACGGTAATAGCGTAAGGCACACCCAGTTCATCAGTTCTAGCGTAACGGCGTCCAATTGAACCAGAGGAGTCGTCGACCTTGTGCGACACATCGGCGTTTATCAAACCCTGGGACAGTTCTCTGACAAATGGTTGGAATTCAGCGTTACCACTGAGGGGTAATACTGCACACTTCATAGGTGCTACTGTAGCCGGTAACGAGAAGTAGGTTCTCTGTTCATCACCTTCTCTCATTCTGAAATTATGTTCTAGGATTGAATAAAGGATCCTGCCAACACCAAATGAAGGCTCAATTACACTTGGAATAATTTCCTCAACATGGACTGTTTTTTGAGTCTTCTTCACACTAACAAGGGTTGGTGTTAGTTTAAATTCGCCATTTGGTGTGCATAGGATGTATTCTCCATCACCAGTTAACTTTGCTTGCAAATTTTCTAACTCGGCCGAGTCCATGGCAGCTAATCCATCATTGATGGTTTTAGCATCTTTCTTAAACTCTTTGCCAATAGCTGCTTTGTTAGGCACAGCTTCAACCACTTCAATTTGTTTAGGTGCTGGAAGTTTCTTTTCAGCGGCTAGCCTGATGCCAGTTGCTTTGCTATGCTGGGTCAAATCATAGGCAGATCTATCGGCACAGCCTACACATTCCACCCACCCATAGCTGGTGAGACACTCAGCATCCCAGCAGTCACAAGCATAGTGAGCCATCTCATTACCCATATGCTGCCTGAACCTCAGCTTCTTAGGGTCAATGCCGACTGCCAACATGTACAAATGGATTCTTGCCATGAAGTAGCCCAGAGTCTCATTGTTCACAATACCTTTAGCAACAGCATCACCAATGGTCATGATCTCTGCAGGTCTTCCCTGTTCCTGATTATCAGCAGAATAGAACAGCATCTGAGTGTCCTTTACAGATTCAAACTTAGGGTGGTCTTTAGAGTCACAGAAGTGTTCAATTTCACACATAGTGAATTCTCTAACCCTGAGCAAACCAGAACGAGGAGATATTTCATTTCTGAAAGAATTTCCAATTTGGGCAGCAGCAAATGGTAAACGGCCCTGGTTAAATTCTAAAAGTCGTTTAAAGTTGACAAAGATGCCTTGAGCAGTTTCAGGTCTTAAGAAACCTTTAACTAAACCACTGGGACCAATCTGAGTGTTGAACATAAGATTAAACTCAATTGGTGGAGTCAAATCGTTGCCGCTAATAGGTGACTTCATTTGGAACCTCTGCATCAAAGCTGCCATTTGGTCAGCTGTCATACCATCAAGCTTAACAAGAATGTCTTCAATCTCAGCTTTAAGTTCAGCAGTTGAATTTTTCTCACTTTTAACTTTTTCAAGATGAGCCTTAATCAAGTGGTCCAAGCGGAAACACTCCCCAGACTTGACATCTTTAGTCATAAGGTCTGCAAACCGTTCCACATGTCCAGAAGCTTTAAGTACTGGTTCTGGTGTCAGAATTGAGCAGTCCACCTCCAACATCTGTTCTTGAAGAATAAAATATTTTCTCCAAAGTTGGATCATATTGCTTTTGAGGGCGCATCCCATGGGACCAAAATCAAATTGGCCAGTGATACCACCGTAGATAGCAAAGGACTGGTCATAGAAGAACCTTCTTTTGATAAGATCCTCCATCTTAGCACGGTCAAATAGCTCTTCGGCGGGAGCGAGACTCAGTTCTTTGTCCTCCAAAACTTTCTTCCTTGCTTTAAGTTCAGCAACAGCTTTCTTTATGTCAATTTCAGGGGCTTTTTCTTGTTTGAGTTTCCTCACCAAGTCGCCCTGTTCCTTGACGCTGGCGCGCAGGGGCGCCAAGATTTCTTCAATTTTAGGATCAGCCATAATAATTTCTCTTAGTGGATTTGGTATTTTAATCTTCCTGTGAAGTTTATTGCTACCCCACTCAATATGAGATAATCTGACTTGATTGCAGATGATAGGAATTTGTTTACTAAATACACTACACTTATATAATAAAGCTACAACGTGTCTCATTTAAGTGAGAGCAAGTACTCTTCCTTTTAATTTATTAAGCCATCTGGTAGCCGGTTATTAGCTTTTTGATCGCGTGGTAAATGACGAAATCCCAGTCACTTTCGTTTCACAACTTGCAGTCACTTTTTCGTTATAGTTAGATTAGATTTTTAGCATGAAAGTGATACAAAAAACTGGTTGCTAAAAGGAGTGAAACGTTAAGGACAAAATCATTATGCTCAAAATATAACTTTCGCTTGACGTGAAACGAAATCGAGATATTTTGACAGGTTAATGTCAAAAAGTATGCCACACATTAAACTGCGTTCACATAGCGCGTTTAAATCATTTGAAACTTGAGTTTCATTACCACGAATTTATTTTAGAATAAATTAATGAAGGATAATCAAGTTACTTCCTTTTGTGATATTATTTAATTTCTGTCATTATTTACGTTATATATTTTTACGTTGGAAATCTAGTCTTCATACGATAGGTATTTAAGATAATTGACCTAAAACAGAATGGCAACACTGTGATTTAGCATCTCTTTCGCACTCTAAATCACTGCGTAAATGATTGCGAGATGAAGCGTGATAGGAATAGTTTTAATTATTTGTTTTCTTTTTCAAATAATTTCAGATTTGACAGCACAAAGGAGGCGGCCATTTTATTGCTGGTTGGTGAACGGGGGGTGAAGCTGAGGCTTAGTGCCCAGTAGCATTGTTGTATTTTTATTAAGTTATTTTTCTAAACATCCGTTTTAACAACGTACAAAATCGTATACGTACTTAGAGTAAGCTTAGGTGTATTTATGTATTGAGTCGGAAGACGCAATGGACGATCCAAATAGGATGATGGCGCATAGCGGCGGGCTTATGGGGCCGCAGGGCTACGGCCTGCCTGGCGGCGAGGGAACTCCGTCCGCAGGCGAAGGCGAAGCCCGCAAGCAAGACATTGGAGAAATATTGCAACAGATCATGAATATTACAGATCAGAGTCTCGATGAAGCGCAAGCGAGAAAACACACTCTCAACTGTCACAGAATGAAGCCTGCCCTATTTTCAGTGTTGTGTGAAATCAAAGAGAAAACAGGTAAGCAAGCTGACGTATTTATATTAGTGGCTACTGGATCTACGCGGTTGTGTTGTATTTTAATGAATGCCGTCGTGCGCCACGAGCTCTCGGTTTCACTGGCTTTGTTTCATGAACGTGAATTGGGAGAAATAAACATGAATTCTACATACAGAATCCAAAAAACATATTTGCACATTGATTGTAGATCTTGACTAAATTAGTTGAGGTAACTTTTTTCTCATACTTTATCATAATATGTATTATGAAGTATTTAAAAAGTCCTTCATCGTTGTTCGTTCTGAATTTGAAAAATTCATAACTATTTTCAATTTGTCACTCAGTGCTGTCCCTCCGCAACACGCAAGAGGAGGAGCCCCCAGATCCTCAGCTGATGCGCTTGGACAATATGCTCATAGCCGAGGGGGTTGCTGGCCCTGAAAAGGGTGGTGGTGCGGGCGCTGCAGCTTCGGCCTCAGCTGCTGCTGGTGAATGGGGTAAATACCTTCATGTTATTTAAACTATCAAACACCAAGCGGTCACCGGTGACCGCCACCTATTATTCTTTAATTGTGTCTATAATGACGGTACTCAACGAGTTAAATACATTTTATGGTGCACACTGATTAAATTGTAAGTAATAGATGTCAAGCATAATTCATACTCGGGTGAGGGTACATTAAGAATTTTTCAAATTCAAAAAATTTTTTATTATCATTACATGTTGTACTTGTTTAGGAATTAAAAGGTATGATAAATATTTAATTTAGCATGTTTTTGCAAAAAATGAAGTTTTTGGGTGTACAAATTATCCTGTTTTAGAATGTTCTACCTACAGTTATCTGTTTCAATTGGCATTCATGGATAAAAATATCTAAAAATGCTAATTTTGAAATACAACACAGTAAGTTTATTGCTTTTCAATTGCCAATAATATAAACAGACCATTCATCCTCCAAGGTTGTTTATACTACATTGATATTGATTAATATACATAAAAAAAAGGTTGTTTATACATAAAAAATATACTGTAAATAAACTGTAACTTCACCTGTACAGTAGTTGTATATGAGACAAGGAAGACATAATTATGTGTAAACAATATAAGCTTACGAAAGTAGAATGTTTTCTTAAATCTCTTGAATGTAAAAATATTCAGACACTATGTAAACACAATGTATAAACATAATATATGTTTAATTCTTTACATGTAAACTGTAAATATGGATACATTCTAAATTAAAGCTATTAACAGAAGTACACAACAGCAACAATTATATTATGAAGTTTATGCAAGAAATTGGTCATCTAATATTATAAATTATTCTATTGTTATTCTTAATATGTTAAAACTAAGATATAAACCTGGAGTTGTATTAAGTTAACTAACATAACATAACATCACGCCTTTTATCTCCGAAGGGGTAGGCAGAGGTGCACATTATGCCACTGTACAATGTTACACCCACTTTTCACTATTTATGTTATGAGTCCCATGTAATAAGTTAACTTAATATTTTATAAAAGGAAAGTAAGCTTTCTTTAGATAAAAATACAAATTAAATTCTGCTCTGTGTCACTAGACAATGCGATCGAGCACTCTGACTACCGTGCGAAGCTGGCACAGATCCGCCAGATCTACCACCAGGAGCTGGACAAGTATGAGAATGCTTGCAATGAGTTCACCACCCATGTGATGAACTTACTGCGCGAGCAGAGCCGCACCAGACCTATTACGCCTAAGGTATGCTCAATATAGTTTTATTTTGTTTGAGTAAATATTGTTGGAAATTATTAGAAGATTTGGTAAATGCTTTTCTTTCAATTTGCTTTGTTATCCCAACTTAGTGCATATACAAAGTGAAATGTTCTACCTTTTTTTCATTATACCAATGTGTGGCACTAAACATTCAGGACCAGGACCAACATTAATGATAGGTTCTTGTTTTGTAGGAAATTGAGCGCATGGTGCAGATCATCCACAAGAAGTTCAGCTCCATCCAGATGCAACTGAAGCAGTCCACCTGTGAGGCCGTGATGATACTGCGCTCACGGTCAGTTGCTACTTGTAGTTATTAAGTTAGATACTATCTAGTCTTATCTGTAGTTATAGTTATATGCAAACCGGGTGACCAAATGTGAAAGTATTGATTTATGGATATTTTTCTCTGCAATGGTGCATTGAAAGCACTTAATTTTTTAACATACTTTTAAAATTATTACTTAGTCTAAGTACTGGAATGTTCTCAAAACATTTCATGCTAACCAGCTCAACTTTGGCCTCTTTAAAACTATCAAAAACAAAATATCGGAATTCCCGCTTGCAGTTTCCTGGACGCGCGTCGCAAGCGCCGCAACTTCAGCAAGCAAGCGTCGGAGATCCTCAACGAGTATTTCTACTCGCACCTGTCCAACCCTTACCCCAGCGAGGAGGCGAAAGAGGAGCTGGCGCGGAAGTGCGGCATTACCGTGTCCCAGGTACCGTGACGTCACTTCCCCTTTCAGTTTCCTCGACTCGCGTCGGAAGCGGCGCAACTTCACCAAGCAAGCGCTCGAGCTGCTCAACGAGTACTTCTACTCGCACCTCGCCAACCCATACCCCAGCGAGGAGGTCAAGGAGGAGCTCGCCAGGAACTGTGGGATTACTGTATCGCAGGTACTTGGGGTTGCCAAGTCTCAGAGGGGCATGATTCGTTGCACAGGAATAGCTGCCACCATTTCAACAATCTATTGCATTGCATGCATTAGTAACCTAAACTCGATTTATCTCAAAAATATCGACGAATAACATCGCTAATTTGGAATTAAATAGAACTTTGTTAGTAAATTCAAATAGAGTTGGCAACCCCATAGTTACACGACACGGCTCAACATACGTGACGGCCCTATTGTTGAACGTGAGAATACAGTAGACGACATGGCTAGGTAATTTTTAACCACAACTTGGAGCCAAGCATTAATCTTGTATACAACTGTTACACTTACAATCGCACGGTAAATCACTGTGTCGGCTCGTTAAGCAATGAAAAACAACTCTATTCCGTACCGGAGTGACGTTTTCAATAGATACATGTATTGTTCTTCCGACAGAAAGGGAAAATTAGCATATTGAGACATGGTGGAAACTGAATTCTTCGTCGACCTTAATGGATATCATCGCCTTCATGTTTCGTTTAACCGACTCAAGACTAAATAAATAAATATATTTACTGTTTTTCACACATGTAGCAAAAATTAATTATCCTATTAAAGTAACCAACATTCTCGTGTATTCGTCAGGTGTCGAATTGGTTCGGTAACAAGCGCATTCGTTACAAGAAGAATATCGGCAAGGCGCAGGAGGAGGCTAACTTGTACGCCGCTAAGAAAGCTGCCGGTATGTAAACTGTTTCATCTGGTTCTACTATAAAGGTAGTTTCAATACTACCTCGTTCTACTAGTTATATTGCAATCAGTTGTGTCAAATCGTTCAAAATATTTAATTATTGAGACTTGCGTCATTGTATTTTCAAATATTCATCCTATTTCTTCAGCAACTAATCAGTAAATTCTACATTAACGTAGATCTCTATCACCATTGCACCTCCATTCCTTGTTTGCTAAGTGTGTGGGTACAGAGTGCGTTACATAGAGATATGTTTTCGCACACAGACTTGCCTTGGGTTGGCGCGGGGCGCGATGCTAGCTCACCGCCCGCCAGAGCTTCGGCATATTACAGTAAATCATAGACATTAACTAGACTTAGGCTAATTCGCACTGATTGACGGTGTAGGGCCCGCCTCATACCCGCGTTTGATGGCTAAAGGATATTAGTCGCATATCTGAGTCCAAAGAACTCTCGTATGACAAGGGCCTAAACGGCTATAACCTTTCGTGCCATCTGGCTCATTCGTTTTGTTTGCCTATGTATTTCTGAATAGCCAAGTGTCACATTAGGCTCTAGACGTGTAGGAAGCCTCTCAGTGCGTTTGTAGCCTTACACACGGCATTACACAGCGCTCGGCGCTGACAATACACATTGATCAAATATCTCTACTTAAAACCTATAATAATTCATCGTGTCGTGGGGATCTTTTATCTGTACACTATATTTATTTCCTGTTCATACTTTTTTATTTAAATGTATTCTTGACATAAATCTTATACCCCGATGCGAGATTCCCACACATGAGGTAGGTCCCCCCTACTAGTAATACTCGTATACATGAGTGATGCGCGTGCGCAGCTGCAGGCGCGTCGCCGTACTCGATGGGCGCGGCGTCCGGCACGGCCACGCCGATGATGTCGCCGGCGCCGACGCAGGACTCCATGGGCTACTCGCTGCCAGCGCCGGGCTACGACCAGCCGCAACCCAGCTACGACGGCTCCATGGGCTACGACCCCATGCACCAGGACCTGTCGCCGTAGGTGCTCCGCCGCACCCGACCCTCAGGTAAACCCGACTGACATGGTTTGATGTGAGATGTTCACTTGCAATGAAGTTTCCCAAACAACACGCAACTAACCAGTCGCCTGTTTATTGTTCCAGGTTACGGGTATGACGCATAAATTGTGCAGCTTCCACAGAATTGCCATTTACATTAACTATTATTATGTTAAGTAGGTCAGACTATACTTACGACCGCTACCGACGCCGGCGCGACACCGGCCGGCGCGCCTAGCCTTAGAACATAGGACATTGTATACTACACAATATACCTTAGACTACATAATATTATTAGCGATATTTTTGGAAGGAATGTAATGAATCGTATTTTTATTTGTATTACAAACTATACGACTGGCACCCAGTATTTGTTTAACGTTTATAATATACAATTTATTTTTATTATTATAATAATAATATAGTCATTTTATTATAAATTAATTTTCAATGGCAACTATTTTATAGTATTATAATTTTAATTCGAGAAGTTGTTTTAAAATCTTTTTGTTTATATTTTATTGTTTTTTGGAAAGTAATTATTTGGGCAGTATTAGTAATTTATATACAAAAGTAAATCATCACATCGATACGGCGGGGATCTCGTGTTTCTATTCGTTCTAATAATCTTTTACTCTACGGTGGTTATAATTATACGATAGATGTAAGTGAATCTAGTGTAATATTTAACTGTAAGTATTCAGATATTTTGTGCTGACTAGTGTCCTCTACGAGTGCGTCCGTGCGTCCGTACGGCTGCCACGCTTGGAAACTGTACTACTTACCGACACTCAACTCATGAGATACAAACTAACGACATGAAACATGCGATGCTTTCATACGACCATGTATACGCTGTACAGGTGGAAACAAAATAGTTTTTACACGCCCGGTGTACTCCAACAATAATATTAAACACGAATTTTATAATTATAAAATAAGTACAGATAGTGTTAAATAATAAACCTTAGTACGAGCACGATCACTGCACTATAATATAAACCTATGTATACGCAATATATATTTATAATTATATTTTTATATACGTTTATTATTGTTGGATTACTAACTATTATGTCGGAAAGTAGTATTGCTCCAAGTATCACAACACGTGAGCGCGGGCGCACGGTCTTGTGTGCAATTTTAATATTTTATTAGCAATGGTTGTGTTAGTATCGCGCACACGCAACTTGGCATGAACTGATTTAAATGTGGAATCGTTTTAAAATACCAGTCTATTATTATTGTTATTTTCAAGCAGGTTTTGTGTAAGAGGCCGGCTGTACAACAGACCTCAAGGTATGTGAATCACGTATTCGGTCTGTAAGATGTAACATCGGCCTAAGTGACGGTAAATCAGGAGTTGTGAATATCAGAACAAAATATTTTAACTGTCGTGGTGCTATGATGTTGGTAGCACAATTTTATTTTACTTGTTAGCCATAAGTTGAATGTTATTTCATTTCGTCGTACATTTTCATCGAAGCATAACAAGATCTTAACGATTGTAACTTAAATTAGTTCCACTTAGTGATAGTTTGGATATGAAAAATGCTAGAATTAAGTTAATGTGTTCTAAAACAAAATATCTGAAACAGTATACGAGATAAAAAACGAAAATTTAATTGATGTTTTAACGCTGTGGAACATTGTAATTTCGCGTGCCGCCACCGATCGCACGTTTCTTACTCGTTCACGATAAATTATTTATTATAATGGTTATAAAGTAATGTTAACATAGTTCCCATAGACGGGCGGGGCGGCGCGACACACATGTATACGACGACGAGTTCAATGTTATTGCGACCATCAGATTGACTAAATACATTTTTGTGTAGTTACACACTTGTTTTATTTTATTACCACCCTCTATAACCTGAAGATTTTCTTAATTTCAGCATAAAAAAAGAGTAACAAATTGTGTAACTCAGGGCTGTCCAAACAAAGGCCCGCGGGCCGCATGCGGCCCGTGGTGGCTTGTTTTCATGTGGCCCGCGACACACATTTTAATCTCAACATCTTCATCCTATGTGTAAGAACAATAATAAAATTCAGTGTATGATTTGTATAGGTATAAGTTTTTTCTGTGAGTAAAGAATACAATGTTTAATGTATACAACTGAAATTATTTTTCAGGCCCTCCAGCTTTTGTAAGAAATTTAATTACTCCGCGAGGGTATATAGTTTAGACAGCCCTGGTGTAACTTACTAATACATTATAAATGCCAAAGTTTGTGTGTATGTTTCCTACTCAATCACGCCAAAACGGCTGAATTTGATGGAATTTGGAACAGGGATTGATTATCGTCTAGAATTAGTCTTCTAGTACTAGGCTACTTTTTATTCCACAGGAACGCGGGCGCAACCGCGGGCAGAATCTAGTGTGGTAATAAACATAATGTAGGCAGATTACTCTTGTCTTGACCGTTATTACCAAATGTTATCGTTGTTTTTGTTTTAATTGTCGTAATTACTCGTTCGATGATTTGTAAAATTTCATTGTTTATAAAACAAACGTTATGTAATGCAAGTAAGCAAGTTCAAAGATACCATAATTATTTTATTAACCGACTTCCCAAAAAGGAGGCGGTTATCAATTCGGCTGTTGTTAGCTCAGGCGTTTGTGGACGGATTTTGATGATTATTTTTTTGTTGGAATGGTCATACTCTCGGGGTGGTCCCATTTTCACCAGGTCAGGATCTGATGATGGGATCCCATAGAAGCCGAGGATAACTTTTCAAAATTGTATAGGTGGCGGGAGCGTTTGTTAAATGTTTTGATATAGTATTTGAAACTACTACAATTTGATAAAGGTGTGGAGTTGATCTGATGATGGAGTCAAGAGACAGCCGAGGGAACTTCTCGAGAATTTGTAGCAATGACCCCGTGCTTGGGCCTAAAATATTTGTATTGAGAAGATCTTTACATATAGATGGGATGTAATTGTCATTAGAGGCCTGATGATGAAGTAGTATGATAGCTAAGGGAACTCCTCAACGGTTAACAGTAGCTACCTGGTTGGTGTTTGGACTTGATTAATTTGTAGTGATGAGAACTTTAAACCTAAATGGGGCATGACTGTCATTAGGGGCCTGATGATCAAGGATTATGAACGTTACACCTAATTGTTTTTTTTTAAGGGGGGAAATTCATCAATTGGCTGCTCCCGCTTGGGTGAGGCGGGAGGGAGTGTCAGATTTACTGACTAAAAACCACCCCGTTCCTTCTCCTGCACGTCGAGCCGGAGCCTCGGTAACCCGTTAGGTTCTCCGCGACACACCTAAATGGGGTATGATTATTATTAGGGGCCTGATGATGAAAAAGTATGATAGCTAAGGGACAGCTCTCCCACTGATTGGTTAGAAGTCGGTGCCACAAGCCCATAACAAAATAACTTAGGTTAATGGTCATGGTTAAGTATATCCTGTCATAAAATTGTACACAGCTTAGGTAATATAAGGTATTTGTTACGGGTTTAAAGAATAACTTTTGTTTAAAATTGTGGCACCGAATTGTCACCAGTGGATGGGTAACCTATAAGTACGTATGAATAATAATAGTTATTTTTTGCATTTTAATTTTGACCTTTTGCTTGTCTTTAGGTTTTGGTTTTCGAAGTCGGTTATTTTAAACGCAGTTTATGTTTTTTGCCCGTAGCTTGACCGAAGTCTATGTACTTAGATTCTCTTACAAATTGCTGCACACGGATTCTCCGTGGACCGATAATACACAGTCACTTAATAAAATAGTTACATTTGGTTATTTAGCACTCAAGTACGAAAAATAATGCAAATATAAGCATTTATTCTTGTTTATAGAGGTCAATTCAATACTTACTACAGAAATCGTGATTTGTAAGTTATGTTTCGTGTTCAACTATGAAACCCTTTAAGGATTAATAAGAGAATTTTAAACAGCTATAGTATATAGTTTCGAACCTTAATAAATTAAAGGAGCGTGGCTAATTTGTTCCAAGCGTGACGAAACGGGGATTAGAAGATACCGACTACCTACCTACTGCCAGTCCTTCCGTCATAATCTTTATTTATACCGTTAGATGCACAATTTTATAGTTAATCATATGTATATGGGGAGATTTTGTAAGATACGGTTGATAGCGTTATCTAATGCTAGCGTGAGAAACAGTTAACAATGCATAATGCAATCAAAACCAGTTACCCTAATCACATCCTAATCTATCCCTGGACTTACAACGCTAGCTTGATAACGATAGTTAGTTTCAATGAAGTAAATAGTAATTATTTCAGTTTGTTTATTTTTATCAGTATATGGTGACCTTGCTACGTATGAATCAGGTGGATAGTGGCGTCATGTCGACGTTGACTTCATCGTTAGGTTAGTACCGCGCCGTCTGTCGCTCGAGTAGCTTGACTAACTCTGCTTATTATTATAAATGCTCAAATCTGTTATTAACTTAACTGCCTTCGTGTCCGCGAGAAATTGTAAGTATAAGTTGAATATTATGCTCTTTCTTTTGATTAATTTGATACTAATTGGTAAACAACTGTTAGATATAGCTAAAGTCATTTCAGTTAATTTTTTTAGTAAACTAAAAAGCTAACGATGATCCTTGAACGTGACATGCGAATTTCATAACGAATCAATGCTATTACAGTTTACATATAGTGCCAGTCACCTAACTATGTAGGTACTTTATTACTTAACAATTCCCCTACTAATAAGTGTATACTCTTTATAACAAATAAGTATCGAGAATTTGTAATTTAATTAATTAAAGCTTTTAAACTAAAAAGACGTCGAACCAAGTAAACAAATAATTAGGTACTTGCGAATGATTATTGTAACGAGGAAACTACAATCATACCTATCTAAGTTATAGTTCATAAAGTACCGTGTTTGTATAATAGCATGGACTAACAATTTTAGTCCATGGTCTGAAGAGAGGGAATGTCAAAATTTCGACAAATCTAATCATCAAACTCTGTTTACAATGTGAAATTATCAGATAAAAACACGATAGGTAAATTGTTTGTAGTGAATTTTATTTAGAACGCAGTGCCTACATTTACTTACCTACCTACAGTAGGTACCTAGTCTACTGAATTAACAAGCAATTAGTGTGAATGAATTAGAAATGTATTTATTCGTAATTTATTCATCAATGTTGTTATCGGTTCTAGCATCGAGAATGACGAGTGTACACAGTGCGTATAAGGAGGAGGTGCATGACGTGCCGATGTCGGTCATCATCAGGCCATTCATACCAGAACTTACGGAAGAAAAAGTTGTCTCGCTTATGGAAACGATACAGGTAAGGAAAACATTTACAAAACGTACATAAGTAGGTAAAACTAAAGGTTAGTTACTTACCATTGTCATGTTGGTTGACATTTCCTTTATAAACACTGTTTCCAGAATAATCTTGGTAGGCACTATAAGGTTACTATAACTTTTTTAGAAGAGCTTTTCTCAGTATTTTCATGTGAGTAACCCGCGATTTTGAGTTGATATAACGTTACTCTTCGGAATTACATAAAAGACTGAACTATGTCTAGTTACTCAGTTACCCACAACAAGCTAAAAGATGATAATGATGTTTGATCTACCCTCTTATTTTTATTTTTCCTCTTCATTAAATCTTAGGTGGATAATTTTAGGACTAATTTATTATTATATATTATTTTAATAGGTGGGTACTTCTATTTATAGTCTCTAAACTTATTAAAACTGTTCAAGAATCATGTAAGCAATTAATTTTAATAGAGATTTGAGTGCCTGCTGTAATTAACTGCAGCTAATAAATAATTTATTAATATCTCTAGCGCCGGTGACTATAACTGGTCACGGTTAATCACTAGCTAAGATAATAACCTGAACTGATCATAAAGGTAAATCTGACCTACATTGAGTACTAGTTGTCACTAATAGCCCTTCTTTATACTATGCTAATAGTATCTAGTTATCCTACATGGATTGTACTTAACCCCATTCATAAAGGACTTTAACATTATTTGTTGCAAAACTTTCTTGCAGATATAAATATTGCAATGGCTTAAACGCACCGACAACATATAATTAATTATTATTCTTGTTGGTGTACCACAAGGGAGCATTTTAGGTCCTACGCTATTTAACTTACAACAGTACATATAATTTATTTTAAATAATCTGTAAGGTCAAAAGGCCAAAGTAATTTGTATATCTAGAGGTGTCTAAGTTATCGCAAATCTATAAAAAATATTATTGTGATTTAAACTATTTTATTATGTAAACTTTTCATGTGAAAAGTGACCCGACGCGATACGTGTTTAATTTATTAGATAACGTGACGTGAATTTAAAAAAAAATATTTTTTTTATACTGCCAATAAAATATTGATTTCAAATAGTTATCAAAGTGTAAGCGTACGACAGTTATCTATTACTTTCTGTAATTTGAGACTATTGATCACGATGCCTTCAAACTCAAGAAAAGAAGTAAGGATTGAGTTCTTGGCAATAAATATTTATTTAATTTTTTACAGAAAGAAGAAGAGGCAGGCAACGTACCTCCCATAGATATCCTCTGGATCAAGGGTTCAGAGGGAGGAGACTATTACTACAGTTTCGGAGGCTGCCACAGGTACGCCGCCTACAAACGTCTGAACCGACCGACCATTCCTGGCAAACTGATCAAATCCACCATCACCGACCTTAGAACGTATCTTGGAAGTAGTACACCAGACTTGAAGTAAATTATTTTAAGTAACAATTAGTTTTACTGTAATTATTTTGCTCGCACAATGCAAAGGTACATTAGGTAATTGATATTTATAAGGGTTAGCCAACCTATTCTATAATGAGAGCATTTATGTGAAAGAGTTTCAAACATCGATTAAATCCCACAGGTACCTAAATATCACGCAGAACATTATCTAAGCACTAAGTTGCGTAACTATGTTGAACGTGAACTGAATCAAACATGTTATTTTTTGTACATATTAAGTTAAGACATAATTATTTGTGTAGATCTAAGATAAGCATTTAACGATTTCCTACAGCGGATGCGGTCAATAAAATATAATACAAACATAGGCATATTTCTATATTTTGAAATATAATTTAATATTTCCCGTTGGGACCAAAACCTGTTTCCTACGACCTTAGTCAATCGAAGGACTTCAAATATTAAATATTATATTGATACTCGTTTATTTTTGTAATAAAATTATTGATGATAAAATAAAACAAATACATTCTCCAACGGTGTATTTATTTGTGGAGTGGCTTACCTAACTACAGAACAATGGATATGCCGTTTCTGTATATTTACAAACATGAACATAAATAATATCAAAATACAATTTCTTACTAACGCAACGGCGGCGCACACAAGCACTGGGGAACGTAATGACAAATGAACACAACTACTATTTCTTAGCACCAACTTTCCATACATGCAGACATTTAACATAAACTTGCTATTACATACTACGTTTTATATCAATTTAAATTTATTTATATCAATTTTAATACAATGGCAATCCTTGCATAATTTACATAAAACTTCAAACAATAATAATCTCTAATGAATTTACGATTCCTTCTATTATCACGTTTGCTTGCATGCATTAAATTTTCCATTAGTATTCCAGTCCGATCGAGCAAAACAAAAATATGTATCTTTAAACATATTTGCATACAAATATTCTAATTTAATTGCATACAAAGCTTGTCTGTATATGAAGGTAGCGCAAGGATTACTAATGTGCTAATTTACGTATGACATTGAGACGACTTGCAAACAAAAATAAAGTCATTGTGCGCTTACCATGATTCAGAACATTGCTAAAAAGGAATTAAATAAAAAGACGTTCAATTAGCGACCACATAGCTACCATGAGAAAGTCAACTTTTGTACTGAGAAGAGACAATGCACATAAACAATGTATATCCGATAGACACTCACAATGTTTGACCACCCAATAAGATGTGTGAACTTAAAACTAAAATATATAACATACATGTAAATGGTAATAAATGAACATATTCTAGTGCAGATAACATCGTACGTAGATATTGTATGTAGTGTCCATATACGGCGTAATATTACAGAGATCATTTCATGCTTGCTCACAATTTAACATATTTTGGCACGAATCATAAACTTAGCGACTCAGTGAGAGCGGGGGAGCTAACTATAGGGTACTTACAATATTGTTGTATATTATACACTGAATTATATAATCACTAATATCTAAATGAAAGTGTGCACAGTAATCGGTGTTCACGTTAGCTACCATCTCCCAGTACATATGAATAAATATGCAAAATAATATTTTCTATATTGATCTATCTATCACACTGCGGCCGTGACTCGCCACGCCCGCCCAGGGCTCGCCAACTAAATAGAAAAAATATATATCTATTACTTTACAACAACCATATTTTTACTATGTCTCATAATTTTTTATATCATTTATAATATTTTATATTTTTTACATAACAACGGCACCCTGTCGCCATGGACAAGATAAACTATTTTTTAATCAATAGATATATTTTTTTCTTCACATATAATAATTAAAGCAGTGTTTAAACATTGGTTATCATAAAGATTATATTGAAGCATATTTTAAAATTTATATTTTATTCAGTGGCACTAGTGTTTATACGTAACTTTTAAATCCATTTAAAATTTACATTTAATAATTTATTATGACGAGATGGAAGTGGCTCAGTGTACGAGAAAATATACGAGTTGATTTACATTACTTATGAATATAATAAGTAAGGAATACTTAACGAAATAATATCTAGATCTAGATCAGTTACTTTGTCGTCCTATTAATGTATGCTTACGTTAAATAAACGTAAAATACAGTTTAAATAAAAGTACGCTCAAATAGTGAGTCTACTGCACGTGTGTAGATAAAAGATGATACATATTGCCACCTCCACACATATAATTATACGACATTGTTTAGTTAATGTACTAATACTTAACTTACTTAAGAGAAACGTGGAAGGATAACATTCATTGTGCACGTCAACTTACCGGTACACTAAACAATAATTACACAAATAAATTAACAATTTATTTACATTAGTCATAATGAAATATATGGTAATGTTAGGATGTAATGATCAAAATAGTTTGAGAAGTATTTCACAGTCTTTCTTGTGAAATCAGAGGGCCTAGTGAGACTTCTTTTTAAGGTTAAGGCGATTGGAACGTTACCGCTTTTAGCCGTCAGATTGGGTGGCTGCAAATATGAGCATGCCAATCATAGCGGCGAACGTCATAAACGTACCGATTGCGTTAACGTAAAACAAACTCGTACGTAATAGGTCCTCAGGAAGAGAGTACGATCGAAGTTTTGTCATGAACGATCAAGTGTCAATTTGAGTGCTAAGATTCAACATTACCTTTTTTATTAAGTTATCATGAACTATGTATTAGTTTAAAATGCATATAACTTTTGAGTTTCAACTAATTAAATATTTAGATTTATATAACAAGAACAATAACTATATTTCAACGACGGCTACTTTCAAAATCTATTATTAAATATTTAGGTATGTAAGATTGTAGATTCCTATTTTTTTTTTCGAATAGACTTTTTAAGTAAACAAAGCTCGAATTATTTAAATTTTAATTTATTATGTTCGTGATATGTGGGTGACTGTTTGGAAGCATCGTAGATTGAACATTGACAGGTGACTTAAAATATTTATTATTTTTTTTCAATTTAAAATGTAACTAAATACTACGGTATGCTACGAAGACTTACTACGGCGTAGCAAATAGCTACGACCGCGTAAAAAGTCGGAAGACAAAATTATAATACGTAGTGTGACCATAATATTGCAAATAAAGTTAATAACATAATTAAAGACGTTATATAAACTATAATCTGTAGTTTGTTAAACAAAAATGAACATTATATTTTTGTAATAAAGTTTAAATACTATAGGCTGATAATTCGTGCAATTGTTTAGATTAGAGAAAAAATAATACTATGCATTGGAATGTAGATAGAACGGCTAAAATGAGGTATAGTACGTTGGCAGCGAATTGGCATAACGATTGTTTAGAAGAAATAACCGAGCTCAACAGATATCTGTATTTGATTTCGTTGTTAGCATTGCTATTTTCAGAGAGTATGAATAAGACAGGTATATACAATATATAATAAATAAATTAATAAGATCGAGATCTTATTAATTTATTTACTTGTGAATTCTATAAAATTGCGATACAAATTGAGCCTTATTGTGAAAGAAATAAGCTACATTTTGGCTACTAAGCGTTATGCCAATGTACAAAAGTTGTTTCAAAGTTTGGCACTTCACCTCAATCTTTGTATGTATAAAAATGAAGTCTTGGCCGATGTTGAGGTATTTATTAAGAATAAGCAATAAAATAAATGAACACCAAGTTTCATTTGTGACAGGCAGTGGTGTACATGTACGTTCATTCATATTATAATGTAACATACACTTTCCACACTTAAATTGCGAGCCTAGAGCTAAATAAAAATAGTAAGCAATATTAGGACATATTTCGTAGTTTTCTTAAAAGAAAGTACTGATAAAATTCGCTATATTGCACGTAAAATTATGGCTGCACTGAGGTGATAGTTAATCAAATATAAGTCTTATGTTGAACACTTTAAAGTACAACTAATAGAAAACGTTAATACACAGTTTGAGCATTACTTTCCGTCATGGTGGGTAGTGCACGGGACGAGAAGAATTATGATTTACACAAGATCGTTATTATAAAGACCAAAGATATAATTTGCTAACGAATTCCTATGATATTCAACAGCCAACCTTATTACCAATAGCCTAGAAATGAATTTTTTTTGTAACCTATCGCTTCGTCTCTTTTTATATCAACTTGAACCTCACGTAGCTTGTAATGAGGTTGACTATTCATTGTCATTAGTAATTTTGGTCATGAAGGAGTTTATAAGATCTTGCATAGATCATGGAAGAGGAGAAGACAGAACAGTCCACGACTTAACAAATATAATGACATGAAGTAACTATAACAACAATCCTGAGTGTACGTTGTCATGCGCGTGCAAGAGATTCTAGCCCCAAAGAGTTCTACAAAAGTAGATTTGTTCAACGAAAAATAGGCTACGGTTTCACTTATTTTAATAAATAGACTGCATGGTGTCAAATTTATTAATCTTATAAAAATAATTCGTTTTTAATATAATTAAAAGATGCCTTCGGTACGCATAAGTATACACTTTAATGCGGTTACTATCAACGCGACGCTTGTGGAGAATACGATTTTAATAACAGTTTTTTCAATTAGCAGCCAAAGTCGTATTAGTTTATCAACATATTCGTTAGTAAAATAATTATGTATTCCAAAATAATTCTCATCGCTATAACATCATTCTTCTTGTCCTTAGAAGATGTAGAGAAGATAGTTTGCACATTCCAACGTACACTCGATCCGACATACACTGCGCCTGCGGCACACTTCTACAATATATCTACATTAAAGCATCGATACGCACCATCAATACATCGCCAACTGCCATTCTGAAGAGAGCTACTTCGTTTACCTTTCAAGGTCAGATTTATTGGAAGAATATCTACTGAATATTGTTTAAAATTTGACAAAACTTATTCTTATGTGTTACGGTTTAGCGCAATTTGCGCAAACTTCACTATATTTGCGCAAAAAGTGCTAGTCACATTTTGTATGCTTTAGTATTGCCCAAACAATATGTTTGACCAATACTAAATACCTTAAGTATTGACTATAGAGTCAATATCTTTAAAGATCCATTTTCACTCGTTCCAGCAGTATTTGCCAATGAAGTCATATTTGTATAACCACCGATAATTTTAGACATAACAACATTTATGCACACGTATATAACATATATCTTTACACAGAAGTGAGATTGCTTCGTAAAGCCCCATCCACACGACTAGAGATTTCTCCAAACTTAATTTTGAATAACTACATAAAAAGTGCATTGGTAAATATTATTACAGTTTAAACAATGACTTTAAGAACACGTTGCTAACATTAATTATTTTGTAAAGTGTACACATCAATATTCAAATAGCAACACGAAATATTTCAATTCCTTCGCTCCATTAATTTACCGACTGCTTTTACATCGAAACGAGTCCTTTCAAACAATTGTCGTGTAAACTGGATGCCTTATCCAATATCTCTAAATAAATTCTCACAAAATTAATTTACATTTCGTACGTAACATGAAACCGTATAATAATATACTTTTACTCACATTTCAAAAACAATAATAGACTGTGCACCACAGACTATACTCATCTACACATCATTGAACAGCAAAGTTTATTCTTCCGAAACAATTAAATATTTGTCTATACATTCAACTCTTTTAAAACTATTAAGACGCATATATGTAGAGATACTCTTTTATATTTGTATTGTTCACATTTATAATTATACTAGTTAGCACTTCTGCAGTCGAACTTTCCCTCCCCTGTCGAGGTAGGAGCCATCTCTATCTTTGCTTACCCCATACAACATTGTACATTTTATACACTCCCTCTATATATTTACACAGTTCTCTAAACACGTGGTACATGCCACTATTATACACATCCATTACTATTTCGTACAATCTTATTACCTACCATTTATCGAACCGTTTAACATCGATATGAAAATATAACTGCGTCCCTCGTTCTTGCTTTCTGCTCCATAATAAACACTCATTTATGCTAAGACTAATGTCACCTCCCGCCCACTGGTAGGGGCGTCACCTACTGAGTTTCCACATGTTTCGACAACACCGACATAGAACATTTAGATAGAATAAAACACCCTCAAAAATATGTAAGAATGTTCGTTCGTCGCGTGGACTACATGATGACCGGGTACCTCGCTGGCTGGGTGTGTGAGACCGGCTACACGAGGTCGGCAGTGTCCGCGTCGTCCAACAGGTGCGCGGTCCTGGGCGACGAGAAGTGTAGCTCGCGCTCGGCGAGGCAAAGCTGACATCAGTCGAGCGCGCCGATACACTCCGGCTCCTCGCGCACGCACTCCTTCGGGAAGTAGCCTGAGCGGTTGTCACCCTGGAAACAAGATTTGTTGTAAAAAAGAGAGCAAGCTAGACAAGCTGTCCACCTACAACTTTGTACTCGGTTTTTCAAACCTTCTTGAACAACCATTATAACGTTAATTTTAAAAACTATTTAAAAACTCAACTAGTTAAAACATCAATATGTTACCTTATCAAGCGTACGCCCCTTCCACCAGCCCCGACTGTCCCCCTCCTTGCTGAGCACCAGTACCTTGGCCCCGGGCCGCAGTGCTAGCTGGGAGCTCTCCAGTGGACGGAAATCGTGAATCACTGTCGCTACAACGCGACGGAATGGCCAGCGGAGATTTGAGTTTAAGCTGAAAATAATTTGCTCTTTGTTTGAAACTTGCTAGACGAATAGACACAAAGGTATTTGATTTAACATCATCAGTTTTCCAAATCAAAAAAATAATTTGCTTCGTCCATAGCATTGGTTTTTAATGCCCATGTCCCATACGGTTATGCAAGGCGATGTTAGTAGCTACTCTAGCTACATTCATAAATAATGTTATGCTATTGTTGTCATTCAGACGAATTTTATAGAAGGTAAGGTTAATGCAGGGTTCGCATAGAGTAGCTTACCCTTCAAAGTTCTCAGAGAGACTGGTTTTCTCGTAGTATGTGATAAGCTCTACGACGCTGCGGAAGAACCTCGACTCGGACAGGTAGTAGTGCTGGACCTGGTCTATCGGCTTGCGACATACGCGCATGTGTTTCACTGTGTTATCTGTCCTGTAAAATGAGCAGACGGTTACTTAGTATGGAAAACTAAACTAATGTATGATAGAATATCCGCATTTTAAATGCGAAAGTATATGTTTGCTTATGACAAAGGCCCGTTGGCGTAGTTTGAATTTATTCGAGTGTTCTTGGCGACGTCGTGGCCTAGTTTTATTATTTGTCATGATGGGAATGATGCAATGAACATATAGCCATACTTGAGCGAGAGCGCGAGGTTGGTGTCAGCGTGCGCGTGCGGCGGCGCGAGGTGCGCGAGGTGCGCGGCGTGCGGCCGCACCCGCAGCAGGAACGTGCCGTCCACGCGCCGCTCCAGCCGCGCCGTCGCCGTCTCGCGCCCCATCTCGCCCACGTACCTGCGGGGACAGTTCGCATCGTACTCTACGCAATCACGACAAAACAGCCGAAGGGATCGAGATGTGAAACAGAGGTAGATTATGGTCTGGAATAACACATAACCTTTTCTTTATCCCCCGAGAGGGGGCAGAAGGGTTAGTATAGCGTGCCATGTGTATACGTACCACATGTAGTAGTGCAGTGCCTGGTCGGGCGCGTGATGGTGCGGGGGCAGGGGGGGCGCGGGGGCCAGTCCCCCTCCGCAGCGCCCCGACAGAGCGATGCACTCCTTGTGCGCACACGCATTGCACACTGTACACAGGTAACCCTGCACAGGTACGACACTATGAGTATTTATTTACTTCAAAAGTAACATAATGCTAAAACAAATAGTAATAGGAGTTACCTGAAATATCCTTCCTTTGAGGAACTTGGAACAATGGTGGCACGTGGCAGGCTTCTCGAATGTATGTAACACAAACTTATGGTTCGTACTCCGACAGCCTGGAGGCTCCAAGTTGTCGCTGTTGGCAATAATTATTTAATTACAACATTTTTAAAAGCTGAGGAAAGTCCCAAGAGCCATAACATACTAGCACTTTGCACGTGGAGAAATAATTATGTTACGAGCGTATAACAAGGACGCCTCGGCAACGCAGCGAGGACGCCACCTTTGACGTTGCCGTTTACACATTGGCGATACAAATACGTTGCTAGCCTTTAAAAAAGGAAATGTATAACAGCTAATAACAATACTCACATAGCATCCCTAATAGCTTTAACCCATTTGCGTTTGGCGTCATCAGTGCGTGCGTAGAGCGTGAAGGTTGCGTCTTTGGTGCGTCTGACGAGGTAGAAGTGCGAGGCCCAGCGCGCGTCCCCCCGCAGCGCGCGCCTGCCGCAGCCCTCCTCCACTCGATACTCAGCGAGGCGCACTCCCACGCGGTACGAGTACTGGTTGTCCTGGGACGACAAGAGCTGGTCTTGTGTTATTATACTGAAGTATTTGGATACAGGGATAACGGAACATGTGTTTTGGATAGTAATGTCGTTCGTTAAGTGGCTGTAAATGTGACTTCTATGCAAAATACCTCAGTTTGTATGCTCAAATGGGATTAAACTTTATTAGATTTTACTATTTTTGAATTCGAAGCTCTGATCGTATGTGAATAAATGGCTAAAGTGGGTGGTACATTATTGTGTGTGGGTTCAAAACAAAATCATAACGAACTTTAGTTAACCGACGTTATTTGTCAGGCTATACGGATTGTATGATTGAAGGCAGCTTACCTTGACGGGTTTGCAGAGCAACATGAGCTTGTCGAACACGAAGACATACCGCGAGCGCACCTTCTGGTCCTCGTGGGCCTTTACCTTGAGCTCGCCGTCCAACAGGAGGCGCCCGTACGCCGCCAAGCCTGCGCCCCCCGCGCCTAGGGCGCCGCCCTCCCAGTCTATTATACTCTCCTAGAGAAGGACGACAAATATATTTAACAGGACATTAAGCAGATAGGCATCGGTAGTAGAGATAAAAAGTATGTTTACCTAGTTAAGGTAGTCTATTTCCAAATGAAAAATGAAAAATGTCAATGTAAAATATTGAATAACATGACTGCATAAAAAAAAACTAGATAGTAGAGCAATTAACAAGGATCAATTTGGAATTACGTATTTGCTGAATGAACGAAAAATAAAAATATTTCTTTTTAAACTCTACCTGTACTTTAGCAAGTAGCGCGAGTACTTCACTATCCCTCTTGACCTCGTTGATGTACTGCGCTACGTCTACCATCGCCTCCTTCGCCCTCTCCAATCCGCGGAACTCCTCATGGTTCTAAAACAAACAATATTATTGAAAATGTATAATAAGTTCTGTAATGGTGGCGCTGTAATCGTTTTTAGGTGTCCGTACTGAGGATATTGGAATAAATTTAATTTTCGCGCAGCTGATGTGCACTATGTAAATAGATTCACTTACGGCAATAAATTAAAATAAAGAAATAAATTCGACTCTTTTGTGTGTTCCTAAATTATTGTTGTGTGTCGTAGCAAAATACATGGTATTTTTTTTCTTTCTTTTCAAATATATGCTAATTAAATCTGAATCAACGATGCCATTAGAGGAGATTTTATGTCTCTACTACGACTGTAAAGTAAATTAAGTGAGTACTTACGGGCTGCGTCTCATGCACCAGTTTGTCAAGCAGAAGATGATATTTGAGCACCCTCTGCATCGGCACCGACAGGATGTCGCGCAGCTGTATCCGACCGTCGCTGTGTTCCTTCTGGCATTTCTGTACACATACAACATTGGACCTTATTGTTAACACGCTAAGTAGCATTTTAGCTTAACAATAACGGTATGTCGTAGCTTCGTTGTGAATGGTCCAGTTTTAGAGCTCAAGAATATGCTATTGGCCTTCAACGAACTATTGCAATTTCCAAACTATGACCTTAATTGAGTGATTTTAATACTTTTTTAAAAGAATTACGTTTTTATTATTGGTATGCAGTTTTATGTCTTTTGAAATAGTGAAATGCTGAAGTAATCAACTTTTAAGAAATGAAAAATAAATAGAAAAAAAAATTGCGCTTGCTCCATCAGGAGTTTCGACTCAATGAGTCAGCAGTCAAAATTCAAGTGCACTTACCGCCAACTGTTTACTGAAGGTAGAATCTCTGGCATCTAAATTTTTGAGCGTATCCTGAGCGTTGGTGAGGTTTGAGCAATAGTCTCCATAGAGCAGTAATCGTTCGCGCCACGCAAGGAACACGTCCGCCAGTCGCGGCGCGCCGTTGCCAGGCACACACGCTTCTGTTGCTAACTTCAGCTGCCTTAATAAACCTGTGTGTGTCTCGTGCAGTTCCTGTAATGTGTAAATTAATTTGGTTGAAGTATAGGCTTTTTGTTCGGATCAAAAGACCACAAAAAACTTGTTTTATTTTAAGAGAACTAAGTTGTTCTGTTTTATTACTTCTTTTTTAAAGACGCGTTAGGACAAAAACAGTTAAAATATTTGCTATATTTGACAAAGCCTTTCTGTGTTTTGTAGAAACTGCAATGCACTGAATTGTGCATTGTAAAAGACTGCTCTTTGTTGTATGTTTTAGAATCACCTCACCTTAATCCCGAAGAATATGACTTGCATATCCTGAGGTTTGAGGTACGGCATCAGTGGCCTCAGGAAGTATTTGATAATTTTGCTGAGAACATCCACATAGTTGTTCTCAGTGTCCACCAGCTCTCTTATAACGTAATCTCTCTTTTCTAAACTATGTGACGATGTCGCTAGCTGAAAATTTATTAGAAAACATGTTAGTATTCGAACTCGAATAATAACTCAAAAAACATGAGAGACAAACTTAGGGGGTTAAAACACTCATAACATTAAAATTTTTTGAAATATAACCCTCTAAATCTGTCCCGCAGTGCACAATAAAATGTAAGCGCAGACCAAAGCACCGTAAACCCAGCTACCATCCACTATCTACAATTTACATTAATTTGTTTCTATAATGTCAAGTTCCAATAGGATATCGACCAAACCTTAGAAAATAGAACAGAAAGTTATGCGAACAACGTGCAAGTTTTATTGCAACGGAGTGCAGGATGTATGCGCAGCGGCTTATAGCACACAGATGTGCTGAACGTGCAAATTGGAGCGGCCAAAAATCCCATCTTCCGCAACATCCGCACCGCGTTACTATATTTAACGTGTTATTTTTAACCACTTACATTGCGATATCCACTTATTTTTATCATCAGGAACGCAACGCTATAGAAACTGGGTGTTTATAAAAAGAGTGATAGCAAAACTAATAGCGGCGTAAATACATCGTGATCGGAGCAGCAGCGGTGCCATGCCATGCATAATTCAATCGCCGTACGGAACGATTTGCTAAACTTTTACTTGTCCGGTTGGAATTTAATACGTCCGTCATCCGTGAACGGCTTTTTGTTGGGAAAATTGTATAGTTTGTACATTTCGTGGCGCTCTATTATAACTGTGACATCTTTACCGTGACGGGAAATTCTTAACCAGTTTTTGTTTGAGCACTTCCTTCAATATTTTAGAAATATGTATTTACAAGTATATTACATTCTCTGTTTTACATAGAAAATCTATGGGTTAACTACGCCATGTAAATATTTATGATACGTAAAAATAGAGCCATATTGTATATCCAAACATGTGTATAGTTTACTCGTAATCGGGAATCGCTCTCTACCACTATCATTAAACGTTTTAGTACGCCATTAAATATGAATTACCGATGTAGTCAGTGATGGCAATATTATGTTTACTGAATGTTATAATCAATTATTTCCCATTGGCTACAGATCGGAGGTATTAAAAGACATCAGTCTTTTGAAGTGTATTCAAAATGTTACCGCGTTGATTTTATAGTCTTTGAACTTGACTCTAAAATAGTAAGGAAAAGTAAGATGACTAGGAACCATCCATGCAATTACCATTTCCCATGACTGTGTTTAGAAATTATAACTATTTATTTACTAAACGTCATCCCAAACATCCTGAAAAAGAGTTCTACGAACTCCGGCACCGTTCCTCCTCCCAACCACCGAAAGCGAGCAAAGAAAACAAAACCAAAAATAAAAGGGACCCGTAGCGTACTGTGTTGAAAGCGGGCGGCTGCACGGGCGGTAGGTCGCGCACGCTGTTCTTCACCGCGCACAGGTCGTGGTAGATCTCTTCGTCGTGGATGCGCGCGCAGTAGCTCGCGTACTCACCCACGTCAGCCGCCGGTGCGCTCGCGCCGCCGCTGCGTTAGCGACCCACCATCGTAACATTTCATGCATAAGCTTACGTATCGCTTTTGGATTACTAGCTCACAGCCAATCCCAAAAATCAATCTACAGTTTTTCTACCTTTAAATATTTAATTATGAATTGAACTATTCTAGCAGGTAAACTGGTTAAAGGGATCTACCGTTCCATCTACTGGACTAAAAGAAGCTTGTGACGTGTAACTAAGGATGTAAAAGCACCCCTGTTGGTAGGGCGCTCAGTAAGTGCAATACTGTATGAATTTGTGAGATTTGTAATAAGGTTTTGATGTTGGGATAGCTAATAAAACAAAAGCAAATACGAAAATAAATTTGATGTCCATCCAAATTGCACACGTTGATATCTCAAAGTACATTACATTCTTTAAAATATCAACGTGAACAAAACTAAAGAATTCATGAATTAAACTTAAGAATGTAAAAAAATTAACAAAAAATATTTGATTAAAAATGGTGCGTTCAGATGAAGTATAAATTATTATCGGCCCAGCGTGATCCAGTTTCCAAATTAGAAAAGCGACCCAAGATATTCCTGAACACAGCATTAGAATAAAAAAAGAATGTGACCAGCTAACAATTAGATGACAAAAAATCTAACTACCAAATTACACGGAGATACATTACATAACAGGATACGCTAGCATAGTTTAACATTGATAACAATACGAGTTCCAAATGATAATGGCACTTCCAGAGATGGTATACAATCTACTAACATTTTATAGTGGTCATTTTTATTTCCAACCGTAAAACTCAACTAAATAGTTTGTATACATAGAGATATCTAATCTCGATATCTGGAAGTACAGTAATATATTTTAAAATCACTATTGTTAAATCGTAGCTAGCATTTCCTTGAACAATTATTCACAGATCCTACAAAAAGACTACACCTAAATAGGTAAATATTGTAGCTTCTAGGTGCGTACTGATAAGTATAACATGGATAAATAATTTTAAGTTATGCTCATATCTTAAGACACCATATCCAAGGTGATTATGACAAAGTATTAATGTTAAAATCTAAATTTACAAACTTCGTGGGACAATTAAAAACCCTTTGAGAGGTTGAGTGGTCTCGCTTTCTTCATTATTAAGAAAACGTAATTCTATTCTATCCAAAACCGTTTAGAACAAAAAAGCCAGTCGGAGTTTTATAAACAAAACTTATGTTATTAAATAATATGAGAATTTCTTAGTGTTCGAGTTTTCAGCATAACTTTCAAAGATGTGGCGACGTACTCCGGAAATTACAGTTCTATGAAAGTTTGGTCTGCATCATAACTTCTATTACAACTTAGGAACCGCAAATACCACATTATATTGTTAAAGTCTTAAAGAACACTTTCTTAGATCTTTAGAACACTTTATTATTTTTCTTTTTAGCTAAAGATAAAGAAATAATGTTGTGTCCATTTCGTTTCATACCATTGAAGACTTTGATAAAGATAGACTCACAATTTTGGTATTGTGCACCTCTCATTCCTCCATCCATTCGAGAAGTTTAACAGAAAACGAGAGCGACCCAGGTTTAGCTACTGTTAAATGTAACACGTAGAAGTTGGTGAACCTGGGTTAAATGGTGATAATCATAATTAAACGAAATTTAAATGAATACTTATTCATGTAACATTGATTTAAATGTTGCTATCTATTGAAAAATACATTAATTACTACCTAAACTAGATTAATATCATGTCCTGTACAAATCAGTACGCACGTCAACTACCTAAGCCCAATGGAAGCGTATCTACACGCCGATCTATTTGCTCGAAGCTAGACAGCGATCACCCCTATTAACGACACATCACGCTTGGTAACTTTATTCAAAGATTTCAACAATTCACCGTTGATACATTTACCAATTAAATAATTATATACCTAAAAGTTGTTGTAGAAGTAAGCGTGGGAGAGCAATGCTTCGGCACGAATGGGCCGGCTCCACCGGAGTGATACCACGGCCCACGACCTCACAGAAGACCGACGTGAAACAACACTTGCATTGTGTTTCGTCGTGTGATTGAGGTTACCGGAGGCCAAATTATCCCTTCCTCTCTCTTCTAATCTCTCTCCCTGAATCCCCTACAATCCTCAAATTCTTAATCCTAAAAGGCCGGTAATGCACTTGTAACGCCTCTGGTGTTGCAGGTGTCTATGGGCGACGCCGATTGCTTACCATCAGGTGATCCGTCTGCTGGTATACAGGCTATCCCATAAAAAAACTTGGAGTGCAACAGCTAAGATGTTATTGATGATGTTTAAATTTATTTTTGATAGACTCTGCTGTATAACAAACTAGTTATATCCGTGCGGTTTTTTTAGCTCTGTGCCTATTGATCGTAGTGTGACATTGTATAGCCTATAACCGTCCACAATTAATTATTCATTTATCCAATAGTAGTTCCTGAGACTAGCGCGTTCAAACAAACAAACAAACAAACTCTTTAGCTTTATATGATAAGTAAAGAAATTTAAATAATATCCATAGAGACTAATGCTTTGTTCGCACTACGCTTGTATTTTAGTCGAGTGACGAGTATTTAGTAGCCTTCTCTCGCTTCTGTCTCAAAATCTATGCGAAAGAGAACTATAAAAATTTCACTACTAGACTAAAAACCTAGCGCAGTGCGAACAAGGCTTAAGTGATTAAAAACCTCTTTATTAAATCAAACTCGATCCATAGCTCTCTTGGTGTTTCAACTCCTAACACAATCTTTGTAAACAAAATGTATTTCGTTAGTCTTGCTAAAAACTCGAGAACGGCTGAACCGATTTGACAAATTTTACTCTTGAAATATTCATGGAATTCCTGGAAAGGTTTAAACGGTGAGAAAAACCATGATTAAGGCGGTACAAAGTTTGCCGGGTCAGCTAGTCTACCTATAATTTACTGTTCAAACATTCATTACTTCATCATATTTTCGAACGTTTAAACCGATAGCATATGCAAGCAACTTTTAGTTATGATGGAAAACTGTTTATCTAGAACGTAGCGTCTATTCGCGACTATTTACGTTTTAAGAAATAAGATGTCTTCCTATAAGTGTAATGTATAGAGCTCCTTTCGCCTGCGATACAGGATTCTCCTAGTGCAGGCATCTAACTTTATGAGATCAATTTTACTTACTTGAAACATATTTTGTATTTTGCATTTTGAATTATTAATAAATTTTATTTTATTTATTTATTTATTTAGGTAACTTTGTTATTTCGACCGCCTTTTGTTTTCATTTCATCATCGCTAACTAAGTACAGTAACATTGCAGCTGGAAATACGGAAAACTGAAGACAAAATAGATTTAATGGACGAGGAAACTTCGAGATAAGGATTGATATGGGGCAAGGTTACTAATTTTATTAATTAGAAACAATTTATGTATTTACTTTAGTGCTCGCCTTTTCTATTAAATGATTAGGTAACAATATCTATACATATATTTGGATTCGTCTAAATATTTTATTATATTTTCGTTTGGCTATACTG